ACGATATTGATTCTTCCTATCCATGAGCATGGTATGTTCTTCCATTTGTTTGTGTCCTCTTTTATTTCACTGAGCAGTGGTTTATAGTTCTCCTTGAAGAGGTCCTTTACATCCCTTGTAAGTTGGATTCCTAGGTATTTTATTCTCTTTGAAGCAATCTTTCTTTTTCTTTTTCTTTTTCTTTTTTTTAAGATGGAGTCTCGCTCTGTTGCCCAGGCTGGAGTACAGTGGCACAATCTCGACTCACTGCAAGCTCTGCCTCACAGTAAATAATAGTAAATCACAGTTGCCTTTTAATAAAAATTTATATTAAATTCTCTACTGAGTACTTCTTAAATGAAGTGAGATTTTAGAAGACAAATAAAAGTTACTGCAACAATAACAACATTATCTGACTGTGGATGAAAACACACCATTCTCCTGCCTCAGCCTCCCAAGTAGTTGGGACTACAGGCTCCCGCCACCATGCCCGGCTAATTTTTTATATTTTTAGTAGAGATGAAGTTTCACTGTTTTAGCCAGGATGGTCTCGATCTCATGACCTCGTGATCCACCCACCTTGGCCTCCCAAAGTGCTGGGATTACAGGTGTGAGCCACCACATCTGGCCTAATGTTTTCTTATTTATTAGAGGTGTGGTTTTGGACATAATTCAAAATGTTAATTAAATTTATTTTAATTTCTAGACAAATAAATGTTTAAATTGTTTGTGTATCTTCTCGTTTTTAATTATCACTGAAGATTGACTTAAAACAAGCTTAGTAACAACTTTGTCTGTAATAAATAATCCCAAATTTAAAAAATATCTACCCATGTATTTCTAATATGAATGGCCCCTTTATGCCATGGTTTAAATAATTTTTTATCTCTAAGAACTGTTACATTTATAACTGTAGCATACAAAGAAAAGGCCAATTTGTGTCTTTTGATAAAAGCAAAACAAATATTTAAATTATGAATATAATATTTTTCACATAAGGACTTTAACAGATACCATAGTTTGTTATTACTTCTCACTCAACATTCTACATGCTTTAAATTTGTTTAATCTTCACAAATGGCAGTATAAAATGTGCATAGCTGCACATGTACCTTATCTTACTGCCTCGTAGCTGCTTTAGTAGTAATTATTATTATTTGTTTTATTTTACTGCATAGCAGCTGCCTTAAAATTTATTACTATTTTTCACATGAAGAATCTCAGTGCCCATAAGCACTGTGTAGGCATAATCAGAATAACGTGAATTTGAGGTGCCTTTCACATGTTTAACAATAGAAAGGTACAGTATTGCTTATTACATAGATATTGAACAACACCTTTTTTCAGAATAAGTTGATGTAATATGTTCACTATATGTTCCATGAGAAGCAATTTATAGTCCCAACTATTCTCTTAAAACCAAACTAGAGATACCATAATTAGTAGCTGCATTCAATGTCATCTACGAAGGTGGAGTTTCTTCTCCAGTTCTAGAATATGTGTTTGAATATCCAATGACCTGTTACATAAACTTTATAACTAAATATAAGTCAAATTTGTGGGCTGTTGCTCAACCCGTGGGATTCAAGTCAATTGTCTCTTATGACACACGGAGGCAAATAGCAATGTAATTGTTTTGCAGTTTTAAAAATGTGCTATAAATATAGTGAACAAACACTTCAGTTTGCCTAGAAAAGTCTCAATTTATGCCTGCTGCAATGAAGTACCATAAGTGTCCCAGTTTGGGTGATAAACGAGGTGGTTAACGCTACCCATAAACTCACTTCTGATAGTTTAGTTGTGATCATACTGAGTTTTATTTGGAGGAGAAAAATACTGCAAGACCAATGTATGTTTCCTCAGATATAGGAGGTGTCCTGAAATGGCAATCTACAGAAAATGGAAGGGTAAAAACATAGAAGTTTGAAAATGGCGACCAAAATAAATAAAGGGATGTATGATCTCCTAAATACCCCATAAAATATTCCTGAACTAAAATTTCACAGAACGGACCAACTATATAGACAGGCACTATTGTTTACAAATTGATTCACAAATTGTAAATGGCAATGGGTAAATGAGCTCTCAGCGCATTTCACAATGCTAAGATTAAAATACATACTCCTTCTCTGATTGCTGTAAACAGCAGTCTTTTTTATTTTATTGCAGATCTTTAACTCTACTATTCCAGAAATGACAGTTTTAAAAGTGTGATAAAAATGAAATTTCAATACACTGTCATGCTGATTCCATATTGACTGAAGAATAATAAAATCCACTTCTCAAGAATTTGCTTATTGTATGCTCATGTCTTATAATTATTGTCTCATTGATTCTGCCAAAAGAGAGTTAATTGAATTTTAAGCATATTGAAATGATGTTTTTATTCTGACAACATCTTTATTCCTTACAAATAAATTTGGAGCATAAATAAGAATATATAAAATATTGGTTATTATACTTCCCATGAAATATAAGTATTTAATTACCTCTGTGACTTAGATGATTTATATAACATATGTATTGACTGAGATTAAAAATTAGACTGCTTAAATCTATTAGCTGTTTTCTTATTCCTTATCAACATTACTAATCATAATTTCTGGTGTTGAAATACTACTTAGAAAATTTTTTAAATGCAGTCATTTTAAAATCCTGTTCTTAAGGATAGGAATATGTTCTGAGAAATTCATTGTTAAGAGAATTTTGTCACTGTTTGAACAACATAGGATGTACTTACACAAACCTAGATGGTGTAACCTACTGCACTCCTAAGGTATGTGAATAGCCTACTTCTCATAGTTTGTAACTCTGTATATTACGTTACTGTACTGAGTACTGTAGGCAGTTGTAGTAAGACAATGGTATTTACCATTGTGTATATAAGCATAGAAAAGGTCCAATAAAAACAAAGCAGTATAACTTTATGAAACCACAGTCATACATGCAGTCCATTATTGACTGAAACATTCTTATGCAGTGCATGACAGTACCATATTTATAATAAAAATATTGTGATTAATATTAAAATCGTTTTTAAAATGTTTTTGGCTTTACTACAATATCACTTGACTTATTTTTCTATATACTCTTGTGTCAAGGCCAGCCTGTTAATTAAACTGTTTTAAGTTCCAGAAAAACTGCAAATGCAAATTCTATCATTTTATTCACTAAATTATCAAATAATTTATTCCAATAACACATTTACTTGATCTTCTCCTTAGATGACATTATAGTTATTAAGGTTAAGGTGTGCATTATGTTTCTATTTTATAATTACAAATATATTTAATCTACTGATGTATTTTAAACAATGCAAATTATAGTAGTATTAATTGCTTCTGAAAGACTCTAATAACATATTCTCATCATTAAATTTACAAGATACTTTGCTAAATTCATTTTTTTATTTTACATACACACACACACACACACACACACACAGTGAAATTTTGAAAATGTAAAAGTATAAAGAGATAAACTGTCCTGTAATGCCATTTACTCATAAATAGCTAACATAAACATTTGCATGTTGTCTGTCATTGGTTTTTCATAACTGTTGATGTATTTTATATTGTAGACCTTTTATATGACAGCTTTTCTGTGATCATATCTTCCTTTTTTAAGTAGATGTCAATGTCTCTAGTGTCTTATAATTAGAAGCCTATGTCATAGACAATAAGGGTGGTATTTCTACACAGTTTTTCCTCTGCTATCAGTAAGCCTGACGCTTATTGAACTTGAACCTGAGCTCATTTTCCATTTTGACTTGCCAGTTATAAGCCTAAAACAAATAACTGTAAATAATACTATTTAACATTTAGAACAGTACAGAGTACAGCTCCCAAAATGAGTTCAGGGACGCTTAGAGCCAGACTTGGTTGTGACAATGTAAGCTGATACTACTGACATCTAGGATGTGGACTCAGAGGAGCTAAACATCCTACAATGTTCTGGTTATTTCTTACCAAAAAGGCATACCGCTAATATTGAGACACAGATGAGCATTTAAGAACAAATGTTTTTACTTAAAAACAAAACAAAAACTTGCCTTGATCAAGATATAAGAATATATTCTCAGGAAAATATATGTTGGCTCTAAGTATCTTTCCTCTTTTGGATGGTATTTCAAATTATTTCTCAGCTGTTCTTCATGGATCATCATTGGAGTTATGACATTTTTCCTAACCGCAACGAAGGAGAAACATTTCTCCTCCATTTTCTTATTGGCTTTGATGTTGTCAGTGGATTCAAGGAACAGATGTAAAACAATTGATACATATATATACATATATATTATATATACACATATATTTTATATATATATATATTTTACCAGAAGCTTTCATCTCTACCTGAGAAATATTTTTAATACATGAGAAAAAGTCAGTGGAAAAAATGGCACAATAATTACTCTGAAGAGTGGGGATAGAATGCCAGGTATATTGGAAAGATTAGGCTATATTCAGGGAAGGGTCATGCCTTTCATTACAAAAGAAAGGAAAAGGATGGATGTTACTGCCAGTAAATGATGATAACAGGGAATTATATTACTCCTGCTTATTCATGCTATTTTCTCAAACCCAAATCTCTCTACCACAATCTAGACTGTTATATTCAACTACATTATTAACTTTGCTATTTGAATGACTATTTTTTTACCTAAATATTAATAAATCAATAGCTGACATTTTGACCATCACCCCCAAACCTGCTCCATCCACAGTCCCCACCTCAGTTTACTAAAACTGCCTTTACTGTTGTATAGATTAAGAACACTGGAGTCATTCTTGCCTCCTTTTGTAATCCATGTTCACTGCATCCAGAAGTTGTATTGAGTCTGTTTTTAAGAACATAAACAAAATATAACCATTCTTTATCTCTCCCACTGCTATAATCCTGTAACAAACCACCATAAATTATTACTTGGATTACTTTAATAAGCTGCCAATTAATTAATGCTTTTTTTTTTTTTAATTCTTACCCCAGAAAACTGGATTCTATTGCAGATAGTCTTTGCAAACCAAATGTGTTATTGTCATTCTGCTCAAAATGTTGCAATGTTTCTCCGTGTCATGCAGGGTAAATACCAGATCTTGTAATTGTCTTCTCTGAGACCTATCTTAGTAATTTCCCCTTTCACTCTGTTCTGAGCACATAGGTATCCTTACTGCTCCCACAGTACTCCAGGCACGCTTTCACCTTATAATATATGCACGAGAAATATTCCTGGAACACACTTAGACTTTATATTTTCATGAATCACTTTTTCAGCTCTTTCAAGTCTTTAGTTACATGTTACTGTTTCATTGAAGGTTATAACTAACCATATTATTTAATACACCTTTACTTATACTTCTGATTTATCTTACTTTTTCTTTCTTTTATTCGTGTAGTTGTACTTCTTTCCTTTACTTATATACTTATCCTTTTTAACAAGACACTTTATTCAGTGATATAGCCTAAGTGCCTAGAAGAGGGTTCTACATAGGACAGGAGCTCAGGAAATAATCGTTGCATAGGTGAATGAATATGAAGTTGAGAGGGAAAGTTATCCGCAGAGAGTGATTTAATGGTTGCTTTTCAATCTTCAACATATTTTTCACCTCAGAGCTTTTGACACAGTTAGTCTTGCCCTCTATTTGGAAATATTTCTCCATATCATCAAGGTTTCTCTCCTACCACTTTGGAAACTCCACCTAAATATGTTTTCCTGCCTTTAAAATGTTGAAGAGCTTCACTTCTTATTACTGAACATGCTCTGCAATCACTCTGGATGCTTTTTAAAAAAATCATATGCATTTTAATATAACTTACAATTTATAAAGTAAGTATTCCCATATATACATCTCTATTGACACATGTGAAATTACAGAGTCTTGCAAGTCGCAGCTGGAACTGTAGCTGGATATCTTCACTTTAATTTTGTTGTCTTTTTAATCTCCATACTGCTAACCTGTTCTCTCTTTTTATTTTATCCTGTGCGGAGAAACTATAATCATATATTTAACATGTACATTAACTTTTGTTACTTTCATCATACATATAAAACAAAGAACAGCTTTTATACTCAACTAAATCCTCCATGATTGGCCTATAGGCCTATATCTACCTCTCTAAAGATATTTTCTACAAATCTGATTCTTACTAAATCTGCTTGTGGCTTTCTCAATATCCTCCTCTCAGAGTTGTTTCAGTTATTGTTCTTACATCTTACTGTCCCCATATTTTATCCTAGTGCTTGTTCACATGCTACTTTCCTAAATATTTCCTCCCTACCTAAAATTGCATCAACTTCTATTTTTCTCAGCCAACACTAACCCAGTTGAAAATAATATCATATTTTTGTTAATGTGATTGTTTACCCCAATTTTCTGTTTTCTCATCAGGCTTCATGTGGGTAAGGATTATGGCTGTTTCATTTTTCTATAAAAAATATTTGGTGGAGGCCGGGCACGGTGGCTAATGCCTGTAATCCCAGCACTTTGGGAGGCCAAGGCAGGCAGATCACCTGAAGTTGGGAGTTCAAGACTACCAATGTGGAGAAATTCTATCTCTACTAAAAATACAAAAATTAGCTGGGTTTGGTGGCGCATGCCTGCAATCCCAGCTACTCGGTAGGTTGAAGCAGGAGAATCACTTGAACCCGGGAGACAGAGATTATCGTGAACCGAGATTGCACCATTGTACTCCAGCCTGGGCAACAAGAACAAAACTCCATCTCAAAAAAAAAAAAAAAAATTGGTGGCCATTATCCTAATTCACTTATAAGAGAGAACATGCAGTATTTGCTTTTCTTTTCTTATGAGTGACAGCTAAACTTGCATATGTTTGGAGACAAAGAGAAGAACAATAGATGCCAGAACCTACTTCAGTTTGCAGGGTGGGAG